CCCGTAGAGGTCTGAATAAAAGTTTTATCGCGTAGCTGTCCGAAAAAAACTCATATTGTGCGCCCTTGCTCTTCTCGTATTTTCGAAAAATATGCTCTCAGTGTCCGTGAGCATGACGATCAATGTAGTCGTAAATTGAACCATGTTGCTGAGTAAGAAGGCGGTGTAAGCCCTCAAACGTACGTCGTCCGACAGCAAGTACCAAGGAATTTTGTTTCCCCAACCGCGCATGCCTGCCATCGGCGAATATGTTCCACGTGATAACAGCCCCTGTTCAAGGACGTCGACATGGAGAAGCAGGGGGGGAAACTCATGAAGGTCATCGGTGTGGCCGTGACGATGCTCGACAAGATGGACGAGTTCAAGCCTATGCTGGTCAAGCTCGGAAAAAGGGTGAGATTCAAGCATGGTGGCGAGAGTTCAGCGCAGGATATGGCTTGCACTCCGAAGCAGCAGACAAACAGCTGTTCTACACTGGAACAGGATACAGTCATCCCTCGGTTAAGGACATGTATTTTTTCACAGGCATGGTGGTTCGCATAATGTACAACACAAAGAGGGTTATCAACCTTAAGGATACTTGCCCGGCTTGAGGACACCTGCTTGTACGAAAAAACATGTGTGCCCTAACCGGAGGCACGGCTTTTGGTGAAACGAATAAAACACGCCTTAATCCGTTACGATGGTAACAAAATATGGTGGTCAAATCTGCTTTTGGGTGTCCGATATCGTTTACCTTAGCTCGCAATACATGACTCGAACGACCATGGTGTCGAAGGATTGACGTCTGATACCCTTTTCGTATTGGTGTGATGTGATGAAATCCTTTGGGCTTTTGTGACCGTTGTCGGCAATCTGGTCTTACCTACTTCTTGCGATCTCATCGAAAATAGTCGCCCTTCGGCGGGCGCCATCAGACGGATTGATCAACTGTGCAGAAAACGTTTCCGTCCATGATATAGGCCAACAGACAAATTAATCATGGGCGCTTTCGTGCGTCAAGGGTTTTGAGATGATCATTTTGGCGAGGAGATCTTGCAAGGGACACAGCCAAGGGTGCTTGGTGGCACAGCCATTGTTTGACAGTACCCCGACTAGCGGTCCTCAACACCTTCTTCGACCCACACGGAGGAGCGGGATATGGCATACGTTCAACGGCCCGTCGGGACGCGAACGTAGGTGCCTCGATTACATCCTGACGCGACAATCACACCGCGGCCGAGTGTCCAACATGGAGGTTGTACCTCAGCCAGTGCGCCCAGTCAGAGCGGACTCAGACCACAACATCGTAGTAGCCACCGTCGACCTCGGTGGCCGGCTGGCCCACAACCGACCTATCCGGACAAACCCCAAACGGCGGCAGTTCAACCGACAGGATCTGCAGGTCGAGGCAGCGCGATGGGCGGTGTCCCAACGGTTTCTCTGCAACTTGCTCGCGAGGTCGGGCGCGCCGGCGACCACCACGCAGGAAATGGCGAAGGAGTTCACGGAGGCCCTGCTTGGGTCGGCGGAGGAGGTGTCTGAGGAACCCCGGAGGCGGCGCACCCCGGAATGGAACATGACCGCCGCGGCACGGGCAGCCCTGGCGACCGCCCTTGACAAGCGACGGTCGGCGCGGCATGCCTTCAAGGCCAGACCGAACGCAGCAACGTGGAGGATCCTCAAAGCAACGTGCAAGGGGGTGAAGGCAACAATCGCAACGAGCGTCTACGACCAACTGGAAGGGTACGTGACGGAGCTCGAAGCGATTAACCAGGACCGCGACATGCGGGGGCTGTACCAAACCTCAAGCGATCAACGGGCCTCAGCGGGAGACAAGCTGGGGAGAAGCAGTTCGTTACAGATGAGAACGGCGTGCTGCTCCGGAACAAGAATGCCATCCTCAAGCGGTGGCGGAGATTCTTCGATACCCTCCTGAACTCCAAGTCCCCCACCCT